TCTTTTCAAAAACACCCCAGAATCCAAATTTTCACCTATTTTTTCCAAAATCAATTTCAATTAAATCCCAAAAATAATTTTACCCTATTTTATTATTATTATTATTTTTATTTTTATTAAATTAAATTAAATTAAATCATAATTTTATAAATTAAATATTAAAAAATTAAACTAAAATTCTAATATAAATTAAAATAAATTAAAAAATAAAAAAATATAAAAAATTTGGGTGTTACAGTGTATTTATTTCATGCTTGGATTTTTTTAACTTCGTCATTTTCTTCGAGATACAGTAAAAAATATAGAGAGATAGAGCTAGCGGAAAAATTCTTTTTAGTATTTTCTCCAATAAAATTTATATCATCGATAATAACAGATCTATCGTATTTTGACTACTTACAAGTTTCTTCTGTTATGTTGAATAAGTAATCTAGCTAGGAGTATCCTTTGCATTTCTTATCCATTTTAAAACTAATGTCAACAATCAACTATATCTTTGTCCTTAAGTAATTAACACTGCCAATTACTTTAGTTTAGACCAATATGAACTTGTCTAAATAATATACATATATAGTTCTTAAATCTCCATAAAATGCGTCCCTTATTCTTATTCATCCGCCCACACTCCCCCAATCTGTTGCACAAATATCCTTCAAAGACATAATACAAGTGTAGAGCATTAAAGTGCCACTATCTCTATGCAAACAACTGTGGTTTCTTTAGTAGCCTGACCACTATGAATCCATACTTTAAGTGTTATAAAGATTTTATCCTTAAAAGGAGATGTAGCAAGTTTCCATTAAATCCATTGCTGCATCTTCTATTGTTATATCAACGTCATCTTCTCCCTTTTCATTATAGCAATGAAATCTTTCTCTTATCTACTATTCTCACCACAACACTCGTCAATTGTACATACATACAAACTGCCTTCTTTGAAAAAAGAATCATCTTTGGCCATTGAAACGTGACCGTTATCTATAAAAATTTACACGATGGATTCGATATAATTATCTTTGCTTGCTTTGTCGTGGAGTCCTAAACTATTATCATTTGCAGGTTCATAGTATCATTAGTGATAATATAATGTGATATTCAACTAAAACTTTAGCCAATTAAAATGTATCACCTATTATTAAATTTGATATGTGACATATAAGTTAATAATGTTAATTCATATTAACAGGGAGAGATTAAATTGAAAATCTTTTAAAAGTACTGTAATTAATTTGAATAAACATTAAGATAAATATTAATTTAAACAAAAAAGTAAATAGTATAGAGACTAAATTGTTAGTTTTGTCATTAAATGAGCGAAGCAACCTAGATAGTTTATATTCTGATTTTGAGCTATACATGGTAGAATTATGAATAAAATATTTTAAAGTTCTTTATTCATATTATTTTTAAAAAAAAATCAAAAATATATTTTCTTTATGGTGGAAGAATAGTAATTTTTTAACAAAAATATATAATTTCAATAATTATGTTATTAGTTTGTATTTGTCATAATATATATATATATATATATTTTTATACAGAGTATATAGAGAAAAATTCAAGTTTGATAATTTAATCAATGAAGTTTGATAACATTGATTTACTTATGATTAAAAACTTGAGAATATTATTTATTTCTCATCCATAAAAATGGAAGTTAATACTTACAAATCTTAATGAACTTACCAAGCAATTGAAAAGATAATTCAGTTTCTT